CAGAAAGTGGTGCATATGTACAATGAACGCCTTGACGATGAGGGCACAATAGACAAATAATCTGGACGATGATAGTTTTGTGTGTGACTGTAACACGCAGTTCCATGCGTAATTTGTTTACCGCACGACACGCCAATAGGAAAGCTGAAAGTAAAGTATGACCACATAGCTGTAATAAATACAATATGGGGCAGATAATTCATAGTTACCCAAGAAACACACCTGAATTAACATTCAATGCTATCAAAGTCTGTATGAGAATTCTAAGCCACGGATAATAGTTTTGTTTAACTAAGAATGCAACCACTAAATAGAGAAATAATCTAACAACCAACTATGATTCGGGCAATTTATGGCCCGAAATCTGTTCGTTTATTTAGTATCTTTGAATAAACTAAAATGCAACAATGAATGATGATCTTTTCAACACCAGTACATACATCAAAACGTACAATGTTACAGATTCGTCGGGATAAAAAATGATAATTTCAAGCTGGGAGTAAACGAAGCAGTCTACCTTTCGAGATATTCCCGACAGGTACACTGGAAAAAAATACAGACTGATGACCAATAAGATGCTTAAAAGACAATTGCGTTAAACGTCCTTTCTCAAGAGCATTTGATTCTTGTTGTCAAAGGGCTCACCGTTGACCGTGTAGATCAGGAGTAGGGGTTTTGGTAGCATAGACGAAGATTTAACGGTCTACTAGTCTAGATAGGAACACAAATATTACGCATTGGTGATGAGTTACGAGGATGAAACAGCCGTTTAATGGACTTTGTCGAACAGTATACACATTCTATCACAAACAATTTGTGCACTTTGCATATGAGTGGATACATGCGTGCTTGTATGTGCAGGACTAATACAGACCTACCTGGTCGCGAAAAATCAGGTTCACTCCCGGAGATGAGAAACTGATGGTAAGCATTAATTTGAAGATATGTCAATGGTAACCAACTAAACGGAGGGTGTTAGAGAGTGGGTTAAGATCATGCTTAGATCAGTGAACCTTGTAAAGCTAGGAAAGAGCCGAATGACCCGATATAAAAAAACAAAAGTATTCACTACCACGAATCAAAGTACAGTGAGTCGAACCGATGGTGACACTGAAGGCAAAAAATTGCATAAACCAAATACTAACCTGAGTTTTCTGAGACGACTAGTAAGGCAGGTAAGTATTATCTACGGGTACCGTGAATATTGTTCACTTCACCGTTACACAGCAAAGTAGTTTTGGTGGAGGCGTTGAGCAAATTATTCGTGCTATTGGTTGATTTCGCAGTCACGCTTAACTCTTCGGTCCTGTCGGTGACCGCATCTCGTCGACGAAATCGTTTCAATTGATGTCGTCCACTAGGTGAACTAGTCCGTGTGGATCGTCGAACACTTAACGGCGTGCTGCGACCACTGCCAGCAGCAGTCGCTTGCGCAGTCGTATTGGTGCTGATCGCCGTCCCGGACGCCTTAGTTGACGTGGAGGACAATGGTGATGGAGGAGGAATATCACTGCTGCCGGTAGCGTTGCCATTGTTAATAATCACCGAGGTGGAACGTTCAAGTCGCGTATCTTGGTCTTGCTCCTCATGATCTTGCTCCATATCATCAAAGAAGGAGAGTACCTCAGTTTGAAATTGTTCTACGAGGCGTCGACTTCGATTGTGCAATCGCTGCAGCGAATTAAGTAAACAGCGTTTACGTTGACTGATTCCCTGCAGGAGAAAAGCGAAGACAATTTTCACAACAAACCGCACGCATAAAAGTGAATATAAGGGATAAATTGCAGAGATTCCTTACCCAAAATGACAGTAAAATGGCTATCAAAATCCAACACTTATTTATACAAGGAGACAAGCGAGAGATGAACCTGTTTTAGAGATAACGTATGGTGTTTCACGATCAGCACAATATAATATAATAATCCGCTATCAAACATTGGGAATGACGCTGGTGCGATTTACTGTCTCCTTCATTGAGGACAACCGATTGCCGATTGTTTTAAACCACAAAAATGATAACCTTTTTCTACACAACAAACGATTATTATCCAGAAAGAGCGGAAAAGTCAATGAAAGGATACCAAGCAAGAGATGGAGACATGGGTTAACGGGCTACCCATATTCTAATAAAGGGAATGGCAAATTTATCGTAATCGATTTGTCGGATGGTAAAACGAAACACTGAGGAAAGCAGTGAATATATGTATGAAGTTTCTCCCCTCGTCGTTCTTATTGGCAACTAACGAAAAAAGAAATGAAAGAATGCACAAAATTAGTAGAGACTTACAAGGATCAGATCGACAACCGTATCCATTTGAACGGTCAGATCATTATCAGACGCAGTGGATTCGCATTCGGGAGATTCAGATCTTTCTACCTGTGGAGAATTCGTAGCACGAGATGAACCATAAAGTTCACACGAGTTATTTGACTGGGTCGAATATGGATTGAATTGATTCAACCGTGGAATCCGCTTCCGATCTCGAGACATCATTTGACCAAACCAGTCTTGGAGCGAGATATGCAGTGAATCTAAGGACTGAAGTGACCGATGTTCAGAGAAAACCTGAAGTGAGAGCAAGAGAAAATTTCAAGATATTTTTGTTGTTATTCTTACGAAGTAAAACTCTCAAGTAAGATAAGAAACACCAGAGGGATGGATGGATACTGTCGAAACCTACCAAAAGATCCNTCCAAATTATCCGTGCAACTCATCATACGCCAACCCGAAATATTCAGTACGGAAATGTGGGTGAGTGGGAAGCGAACGAACTGTAACTGGGACTGTTGTAGGCGTAAGGCAATAATGTCCTGCAACAATCGACGATTAAGGTTGCCAATAGCCGGATTGTATGGTTTGGAAGAGGAAGAGTTTGCAGAACTGTCTTCAGATACCCTATCCAATGAAGATCGCCGAGATAAAACACGCCGATGACCACGGGCAGTAGAACCAGATAATGATCCATCATCGTGATGAGACAGTCTGCTAGACAAGTCGCGGCGCATTCGCCTCGATCCATCCCATTTATTTTCCGGTTTAGTTCGAATTTCTGTGGTGCTGCAACGTTGGAAAAAAGGAAAACAGAAAGGACGATCGAAACATAGATCCATATTAAGGAGAAATATTTCAAACACGCACATGAATCGGAGGTGGTACCAAGTATTTTAAAGTAAACAGTAAATGCAGACTATGCAACCGACACTGTTACACAAGTACCTTTTTATCAAACTTTCAACTATTAGATTCTGATAGTCCCAACTGAAGAACAGGCGTTCATCAAGTTATTTGCGAGCGCTCTTGGTTGAGCGGATTGTCCCGATATTCAAACAGCGGGTTTATTTAATCATTCACACCGAGAAAGACCTGAACGGCGACAATGTATCGGAAGACACTGTGGGACGAGATATGGGTTTAAGCAATTAATGACCGAAACACGTACAATCAAACGAAAATTATGCAAGTGATAAACATTAAAACACTGCACGTTAATCTGAATAACTGCGAAAGTCTTTAATGGGTGATGCGAAACATCTCCAATCAAAAAATCAAAGTAAATCTCTATCCTATTTCCGAACGAAATACGGGGACGGACTAATGTACAAAACGGATATGACCTTCCATTACACAATCGTTTAATGAACAACACCAGGGGCAAAGCTCATAGTTATGAGAATTAGCTCATGGAAACTGGTAACCCAAACTTAGGTCTTGGAGTGACGAGCCACAAGAGGCCCATCCAGCATAAGTGTGGTACAGAGCAGGACGACAGTGAGGCCATCTACCAACACCATTTGCACTATGGCAAAAAGTAGCTGACATGCCCCTTCTAATTATGAGTGATATGATGAGTGTACCGCATCCCTGTTGGCAAAAAGCATTTCAGATAATTTTGAACTTACGTAAGGTCTAAACGCATACAGAAATTATTAATTTGTGCAAGTCGCTTACCTCAGGAAATGAGTAGATTTAGCACGCCAAGCAGTCCCAGAGCGGCTGGTAGAATTCATCCACTTTGGTATCATTGATGGTTTTGGAGGTAAGCCATTCAGTACCCATTCACGACCATTGATCGGATCGATTGTTAGGCGGACGCTAGTGCCACCGGGAGTAGTCGTGGTACACGGATCGCTAGTAACAACACTGGGCTGCGAAGCACTATGATTCAACCAATACTTTCCAGTGAACGCTTTTGATTTGAGCAAAAGCAGAAGTTGCTCATCATCCATCAACGGGATCGTTTGTGAATCGTCAACATTGGGTTGATCCGCGGATTTTACTGTCTCGTCAAGCTTAAGTCTTTTTCGAGGTAAACGGAGAACGTCGGACACGCGAAGCCTGTTGTCACCCAAATTTCTCAAGTCTTCATCATCTTCCTCCTCGTCGTCCAACCGGGCCATGCCCTCAGTAGCCATGTCAGCTGCTGCAGTGATGCGAACGTGATTCTCCCCAGAACGATGACTATAGGCATTGTGCTTTAATCGACCAGAACAATGCACTTCCACTTCTTGGTTTCGCAAAGACGACGTTGAACCTGATGGTATGGATGCAGGAAGATCTCCGGATTGTGAGTTGTCGGTGGATACGTTCGCCATGGAGGAAAACAGTTCAATCGAGTTGGCTATTGTCGGATTGTCCAGATCTCCAACGGATGGTTCATTACGGCCATCCAGATCAGTTGTGCTGTGTTCACTATGTACCGGATTTTGCGGAGTCAGCAAGTGGCGATGTAACAGTGAACTACTATTAGTGAAAGACGTGGAAGGTCGCAAGGGAGTAATCCTGGGTGGTGCCGAATCCGAACTAATCGCCGCAATTACCTATAAAAAGACGAGGATAAAATTGGGTTGAAATCGAAAAACAGGTAGCGCGATCGGTACGTGGAGGCGCACGCAACCCAGTTCATTACAAACCCATTACCAGTACAAAAACTGGTAAACATACAAGTTAGAACAATGCAAATTATTAACAATTTCAACACCGTATGAAACAAAAAGCTAGATTAAATTTACACCAATACTGGGGAGTGTTGTGTTTTTGTTCAAATAGATCAGGAACAAGGTGAACGTAATTTAGGAAATCAATGGCATGCCTAGTTTAAAGGAGCATACGACTGTTGCTTGTGAACGTAAAACAATGAGAATGACTCACACACAACTCACTCCGAGGCAAACCACCGCGAGGGGAATCGAAGCTACGTACCAAATCCAGATACTTCACTCAAGAACAATAAAATTAACGTGCACGTAGGTGCAAGGTCTCAGAACTGAACTGACCTTCACAGAAACGCGATTGGTTACAAATCGATAATGAGGAATTGTGATAATTCGAAAGCTTTGGGGGGGGGGGGGGGG